CCTAAAAAGATTCTAAGAGAGTGTGTGGTTTATACAAGGTAACTAACAAGCCACTGTTTACTATCCTAACAGGAATCTGTAGGCATATTTCTTTTCTTTCTCTTTTTTCCTTTTTATGGGCAGCTTTTAAAAACCAAACCAAACCAACCAAACCAAATCAATGATAATTCAACAGCAGGTTCTAAATCAACCCCAAGACAGCAGCTAAACTCGGTTTAGACTTACAATGCGGCTTCTGGTGGTTGGATTGAAGAATGTATCTCTATCCTGAATATAAAAGCCATTCACGCAGCTCTTCTCAAATAGGGCAATGAAAAACTCTTGTTCCGGTTCTTGATACTTTCATCCACTTGGAGGACTTTTATCAAACAGCTGAAGTTATCAGAGGCTGAGGACCGGCTTTTCAGATCATTGGTCTTCAGAGGCAATATTATGTGCAGTATCTCAGCGTATGTATAGAGCACCTCCCACAGGGTGTGTACTTTTGCAAATACAAGCTTGTCATCCAAAACCTATATTGGGAGAATGAAAACACAAACCAGGAAACTATTTTCACATTTTTAGTACACAGATATTTCTTACATTGCTGGTAGTTAAAGCACTTGTGTAAACACACACACATATGGCACTGGTAAAAGTGAAGATATAATAAAAATAGGTTTGCAAACCATCATATATTTTTGCCTTAAAGATAATTTCTCTGTTGAAATTACTGAAAGTTACTTAAAATCCTTACATTTCAATCATAAAATAACCAATGTTTTAGATGAAGAAAAGCAAACATGTTAATTTTTGGTGCAAATTAGTAACTAAAAATAGAAACACCAAAATATTCTTTGCAGTGGTATTGTAATGGCAATTTTTTAAATTTCTGAAACCAAGGACTATTTACATATCTGTTCAATATAGTGTTAAACAGCCATTAAAAGGGATTTAAAAGAATTGTATTTATTGATATGGAATATATAATAAAAGGAGAAAGCAAAAATTATGTGAAATAATAACTTTCCTTTTTGGAAGGGAAAAATATCTTCATTTGAACAAAAAAAGTGTTTAGAAGGATTTTAAGATTCTTTATTTATAATTAAGTTACAGATGATTTTGAATTCCACTGTTCTTTCATTTTCAATTTTGTGGGGTAAATTTTTATAATAAAAAAATCTTTAAAAATGTTCTTGCATAAATACCATAATAGATATATTTATGACTACATTCTCTGGCTATTAAAAAAGATCTCCTAGCTTTGGATCTGAAACATACATTCCATAATGCAGATTCTGACTGACTCGCCTCCCAGCCCACAGAGAAGGCACGGCTAGGGTGACATGTTTCATATATCATTCCAGGTAACATGCAGGCTCCCAGCCAATGGCTGCAAAGGGACTGACACCGATCTGGTTGCTCCCAGCTGCAGACCATCACAGATGAGGTTAGATTCATAGGTTCATGTTTTCTCTGTCAAAAGAAATCAGAAAATGTTAGGCTTTTACTTTCACCAAGGGAACAAGAAGTTGTTTGATTTTTTTATGCAAAAAGTAACAACAAACCAATTTGAACCTGATGAAAAGACATTTGCTCAAAACAGCACAGTAGCAATGAAGGTGCTCTGGCTGGCAGGGACTTGTTGGATTCCTGTGAGTGCTGGACTCCTCACATGGAATTCCCTTGGCACTCCAGAAGGCCTGTGGTTGTCCCCATGGGTATGTGGCCATATATGGCACACAAAAGTCTCTGGCTTTGCCACAATTTCAAAGCCTTTTTTGGCTTATGAAAAGTTTTGCACTCAAATGGAGTTTTCTTGAGACCACACACTGATGTCATTTACCAGAGTTATACTCCAGATCTGACATTCTAGACTCTTAAAATCTTGCATACATTCAAATGGTTCAGGTTTGGATGTGTATTCAACTCTGGAGGCCTCGACCAAATTCGATAAAGCCACCCGGACAAGTTCAGCAAAATGCAAAGAAATTTTTCTCTCTGCAAGACTGAAATGTCTGTGAAGCTATAAAAACTTCTGCATCTACAAAATTAGGGAACCAACTCATCAATAACCTATCTATCCATAATGCATGGACATTTAAAAAAATACTGTATTTACTCCTATTAAA